TGCAAGTATGACATTTTCACTCTGGAACCTGGTCTTTGGTACATCATATGGTAGTTTTTTGCAAAGTAATTAATGACATCATTTAGTGGCTTTACCAATTTCCTTACTCAAAAGTTTCCAACAATATTAGTCAATCATAATGACTTTTTTATGCTTTAAGAGTCTCATAATGACATATGCTTACTTACTTCAAAGTAGAGTCACCTGTTAATAGCAGCCAGAAAGCACTCAAGAACAACTTTGTGGCAGTTTAACTGAGTAAAATCTTGTGACACTTCTGTTATTTAATGCTGATCTGATTACGTTGTTAAAAACAGAAGCCAAATGTGAAATAGCAGAAACCTGCTGGGATGGGGTTTTTGTGCACGCTCAAGACGCAAAACCGCTAGATAAACAAGCAGACAGAGGATGAGGCATTATCTGTCAAAAGAAATGCCACACCTTTTGATTTATTTTCCAATTAATTCCATTTAAACAAAAGGTCCAGGCAGTTGTGAAAGGCAGAGCTCTGACTTTGCCAGTGGTGTGTGTGTACGGCGGCGGCTGCGAAGGGGGCAGGCAAACATGACTGGGATAATAAGCGTCATGGAATCTAATCAAATTCCTAAGAGGAATTGATTGTTGTGAGGCAGCCGGTGCAGGAGTGGGGTTGACAATAAGCTGAAATTTAAGTGTTAATTTTTATGCTAATCCTCTGGCATCTCTGTGTGATGCAATTTGGTCCGGCAGCCCCCTCGACTTTGCACCGCAGATATGAAATTGTCCCGCGTACGTAGAAAATGTCAGCTTGCCAGACCCTGAAAGCTTGTAATTTATTAGGTATGTTTCTATTAGTATGTGTCACAGTTGTTAGAGAGCCACATGTGCAGGCAGGCAGTCACTCCACCTCGTTCTCTACCCTCCCACCTATTCTGCTCCTCTGTGCCAACTTCCTCAAATCGTCTCATCTCCATCTTTGTTTTTTCTGTCGTTTTTTTTTCCTCCCAAACTGGCATCTTATTCTCTAGCATGTCAACCAGAAGCCCACCACACAGACACAATGACACAAACACCAAGCGTGGCCTTAAAAGGGTCTCGGATCAGTGCCTGCTTCTATGGAGCCTTAATGTATTATCATATATCTGGTGGTCCTTGCCCCCTGGACAAAAGGCTATTTAATACAGTTTAATGACATTCTGTAGAATTCATGCGAGTGTGTGCGTGTATGTGTGTGTGTGCGTGCGTGTGTGTGTGTGTCTGTGTGTGGGCTAAAAGAGTAACAGAAGTAGGGAATTAAAAAGAAAATTATTCAGGATTCACTCATGCAAATATGCCAATATAAAATGTGCTACTTTCACTCGTCATTCTTCTTGTTTTGCTCTTTCCTCTGGAAAAGTCGAGTCCAGTCCAATTTAATCACAAGTACGTTTAAAAACAACAACAGTAAACCAAAGAATTGTGCACATAAAGGAACAGATGTTAAACAATAAAAGAATACACATTAAAACAACACAGTGCTAAAAGAAATACAATTAAAAAGAAGACAAATGTCAAAAGACTTTACAACTCAGTCTGGTTCAGATGCAAAACAGGAAGAATTTGTTCTTCAGCACAAAGTGTTGAGAACAAAAGGAAAAAATAATACACGGAAAGAACAGAGCAGTAGCAAGATGTTGCTACATTTACTTTTTTAATTCAACGTTACAAAATACTATAACAGAATAAAACACATAATTACTAAATGTTGCCATGAGCTAGCAGTATGCGAGAAGGCTGCCCTCCTGCAGGCCCCAGGACTGTGATGATTGTTGTGCAGGAAGAGTTTCAAACAAGCAACCCTTCCTAGTCCACACAGATTTCAATAAAATGTGTTTTTGCCCACATAAAAATGTAAAAAAGGCACCTATCCATTGTAGAATTTACAGTTTGTGTCACACTCTTAAGAAACCAAAGGTTGTGCTGCGGTCGAAGATGAAAAGAGTCAAACAACTGTAGGATTTAGTTATTTTTTAAAACTAGAATATTTTGTGCTATGGGGCTTTTATTAAATTGTTGAGCAAAAAAATATAACGGTTTCACAAATCTACAGTGTTTATATCTTTTATTTAGAAGCAGATTGCATTAGAAAAAAAAAAAAAAACTTTAACAAAGCACTATCATATTTAGCCTTATTGTGGTTTTGATAGATGGAGACAGAAGTTTGAGAGAAAAAAAAAACAGGTATGTTGGTCTATTTAAATTACTCTATTTCAAATATTTGATGTACTCTTGACAGGGATTTTGAATGTCAGTGGACGATATGTAGAAGTTCAAGTTTAAATTCTTTTTTTTTTTTTAAGTGGTCGCATTAATTGTTTTGGAAATCAAGTCTGCAAACAAGTCAAACACCAGCTCAACAGGCAGATGTCAAAGATACACACCTTGATGGAAAAGACAGATTTTTAACAACCACAAACTCCAGCTAAGTTAAATACACTTTTTAAAGAAAATCTGCCTTCTATCGAGTTCTGAAGCATTGATATGAGCTTCATAATTAGCTGTGCTTGTAGATGACTTCCATGTTTTCTTTACTCTCATCGTTTGCTGCCTGTTTGACTTAAAACAATCTTATCTTAAAGTGGGCAAAGTGAGATTTCCTCTTGTATTGATGCTGTTGGTATGGTTCAATGTCTATGTTTGTCGGTTAATGTGCTCAATGTCACAGTAGGCAAATTTACTGTATTGCCTTAAATTTTGTCAAAAGAACACATGCCAATGCATCTACTGCTTGTCATATATATGCTAGCCATTTTTCTTGATAAAGTTTTCTTTAAAATAAAAAAAGTGAATCAAATTCAGTGGGTGGCTAGCCTACGTATGCTAGCTGCTAGCCTATCGATGCTTATGGACAACAGTGGGGTTAGCATGCTATTGGCAGCCTCTTCAATGTGAACGCAAGTGAGTTGTATCTTTCTCATTTGACAAAGCCAGCTGCTTGGTCACCAATTACGAACTATCATCAATCAGTAATAAGTAACTAGCCGCGGAATAGCTTCCTACAAGTGCGACATGGACTTAAACACAACAAACGACTCTAACACACTGTGTTCCAGCCCAACAATAATTTAAGCTGGAGAAATGTTACAATAATAAGCGTAAGTGCTTTTTTTTAAACTTCCTTTTTTTTAATCTGACTTGGTGTCAGAAGCTGCTCAGTCGTTAACACTTTCCTTTCTTAATGTTGCATTATAAATTCACATAATGAATCTTTTGTACATATATTTTTCTTGTTTCACATATATTTGTGGGCTACACATCTGTGTTGCAGTTAAGTATAAGTTCTTCAATCACTTGTACATCCTGGAGGATTCTAGTTACATTTAAAAGATGGGTATGAAAAATGAGAATCTGGTGAATTTGGGCCGTACGCTGTCTAACAAAATGACTTTCAAACTGAGAAAGAAACCAAAAACAATGGATTTTTTACTTTGTCTTTTTAGATTTTTTTTCCCACTTTATGTTGCAGCAGAATGTTAAGTCATTTTCTTCCTTATTTTTTAACACTGATGAAATTGCAATGTGCCCTGCCTGCACACTGAGTGGCTCTAGGAAAGCAGTCAAAAACTGTACTCAGCGGGCCCAGAAAACACACTGAAAGGTTTGGATGCAATTCACATATAGGTCAATTAAATGCAACAACATCTGCTCTCTCCCTACCATTTGCATATAGCATTCATATGTTAATGATGTCCCTTGTTTCCCCCCCCCACCTTTCTCAGCATGTGTGTATGTGCGTGTGCATGTTTGCGTGTGTTATTTGTTTCCCTCTTTATTTTCTGTACTTCCTACCCTCCTCCCAATTTATTTGTATCGCCCAACAAAAAGCGATGCTGAAAATTTGGATTCATATTTCCCTTTTTGGGGAAGATAAAAAAAAAAACGTGATAAAGAGAAAGAGAGAGACGCCCGTCCTATTTTCACTTCCTCTCACTTAACGATTAAAGGGGAGGTTAGATTGGTGCCACAGTTGTTCCACTGCCATGCCCCTGATTTCTACAAGAAGCCCCTTTAACAGCAGAGAAGGCGAAGTCCCATCTCTTCCCCAAGCAGCCCTAACGCCTTATAAATCAATGATGACACAGATGGACTAGCGATAATCTATTTAGAATGCCTCACAGCAAATATTGTTGTGCAGATGATTAGATAGCCAGTTATTTTAACTCCCAAAACCTAATCTTCTGCTTCTTATAATGCCCTTCAGATTTCTTATCGTAATATTAAGTTTGATGTTTTGCTTCCTCGAAATGAATTTTGCAAAAATATGTATTTGCAAATGTAGAATTTTTGCTTGTGTATATGATGGATATGCGATTTGGTGACATGACCTGCTTTAGGAACAAAAGACCCCGTGTCTTCAAAGAGGGCGGAGGAGGACCTTTAGCACAATTGTATCTCGGGGGCATTTGTGTGCGCATTAACGTGTGTGTGTTAGACTAGTCTAGCGACACGAGGGGGGTTAATGGCAATCCGGGGTCCCTGCCCCTTTTCATGGTCGATGGGTCTCACTTTAGAGCGCTGGGGGCGAGGAGAAGGAAGAGAAAAGGAGGAGCTGGGAGGGGAGAGAAAGAACAGAGGAGGAGTGCAGAAATGAAGTGGAGGTTGTCAGACGTGGCAACTGCTCAGAGGCCCTGATAAATATAAGCCCTTATTGATCGGTGGAAAATGAAAGATCCCCGAGTGGCGTGCAGTATTTAGCTTCTTGTCTGCCTCGCGTCAGCGGTGGCCTTGCCTAGGAGGGATAGATTTTCAGCTGTGCCTCCGGGCACCGCAGCACACCGGCTTTGATTTCATCTTTAACCTTTTTCTGCCGCGTTCCCTTGACCTCTGCAGCAGCGCTTACTGAATTTGTTAGATTTCCATCTTGACATTGATCCCCACCGCCACCTCATACTCGCCTCCCTTTCAACCTGTCGTCTTCCTAATGCTCCATCCCTCTTGTCCATTCTCTTCCTCTTCTCTCCCAGGTCTACGTTTCATTATCACCTCGTTTTCTAATCCTCCTCCTCCTCTGTGTCTCCCTCTAGGTGGCCATTCCAGTAAGCAGTAGTCGGTGAAGAGTGACAGCGAGAGGCCACTTGATCCCAACAGGTTGTGCACCAGTATGCAGGTGGTGTATTAAGGTCAGTTCACACCCCCTTAGCACGTAGAAAAACTTGACTTCACTTGGATTTTTTTTTTCCAAACCCTGTGTCTTATTTGCTTCTCACACTGTAAGTATAAAAGAACAAGACACATATACACACAGTTAAATGCACACATGCATTCACACATTCCAACTGTTCATCATTCACCCACCATTTAGTTTTATCCCCAAAGGCACTGTCTTAAACCAAAACACACACACACACGCAGTCACACAGCTACAGTACACTGCTGTTATGTGCGCAGACAGAACTTGTAACAATCTGGATTGTGATAATCTATGATAATCATCCACCACATGCCACCTAAAAACGCACATGGGTGGCATTCAACACCCACACTGGCACATTGCTTCAGCGCGCCTCGCCTCCCTGTGCCACTCTCCCCCAATGTCACTACCTCTCAGGTCAATGTCATCGCTCATGTCCTTATTTTTCTCCTTACGCGTGGAGGAGCCCGCTCTGTGACACACAGAAAAAAAAGGAAGGAATCTCAAATATTTTATGTTTAGCATTAGTGTAATTGTGTCCCACTCGTATATCAAAGGATAGTTGAAGTGCAACAAGATCCAAGAAAACATGGATCTGTCTCTCACTCCTGAACAATGTCTCCTCCGTCTCTCTTTTTGTATTCTCTCCCTCTCTCCTCTCCTTTTGCTAGATGGATGATACAAAGCCAGCAACAGCTGTTGGCAGACAGGCCTGATATGAGAATAGCAGCATAGGATGAGCGGGCATTAAAAATTAATATGCTATTTAGCTTAGGTGTATTTTAGGTATTTGACATTTTCATGTCCGGGACAGACTAAATTTATTCATAGCTGAGAAAAAAAATAATAAAAATCTAAAAAAAAATCAGCGAGAATGAAGAATAGATGTGGGGAAACAAGACGAGGGGAGGTGGAGGCGGGGGGACACTAAGTGAAGGCCATTTTGGTTTTATGGTCACCCTGTTTCACTTTGCTTCCCACCACAGTGATCAATGTGTGTGTGTGTGTGTGTGTGTGTGTGTGTGTGTGTGTGTGTGCCCTGTATTTGATACATTGTAAGGGCTAGTTTTCTAACACATACTACGTTGTGAGGACTAACTACTCCTAATGGGGCCCAAAGCCTGGACCCCATAACAAGAACTGCTGTTTTTGGATTATATGTTAGTGTTAGGACTAAGGTGTGAACTGAGTTTAGGTTAGGGTTAAGCTTAGGCATGTACAGGTAATGGTTTCAGGTAAAGGTCAAGTTCAGACTATAGAAATTAATGAAAAATGAATGGAAGTGTGTGGATGTGTGTATTACATGTATGCTGCATCATAGAGATGTTTTATCCTAAATCTTCACTATGAATGAGCAGAACCTCGACATTTAAAGGTGATGTGTTGAAATTAAAGCACTTTCGAAAAAAAATGAAACTAAGCAAAAATCAGCCTTACCTGAGACAACTTCTTATGTGGATGCAGAAGGACCAACGCAACATGAAGAATGTGAGGTCAAGCAACCCAGTCTGATAATGTCATGATAGATTCTGCATGTTATACAAGATGATGAAATCCAATTCAGACTCTACAAAAAACATAAAGAAATGAGTCTTTTTGGTTTATTGCCGATTAGAAGCTCAGAAGAAGATGCCAACTTTAGCATCGTTAACAGCGAACAATTAGCCAGTCTCACTATTCCAACTGTGCCTATTAATCTTTTATATCTTGTCTAGCACAATTTTGTTTTTCTACCAGACACCCAAAATGCTGTCACAAGAATGATTTATTATTTATAGCTGGTGAAGACTTCTTTAATGTTTTCAACGCCGAGTGTTTTCAGCCAGACAGGTGAGAAGTCCAACTGTTAACTCCATCAACACAGAATGACTTCATTCTTTACTTTAAAGAAAAAAAAAAACATCCAACATGGATGCAATACTGTCCAGCTTGGGGATCATAATTTATTATCCAACGACCAAGTGTCAAGCAAACATGTTACTCTTACCTGCCACCAGTACCTGTGAGCCTACAGGTAGTGGGCCGATGTGTGGGTAGGTTCCCCCAGTCTGCCACAGCTGACTGGAGATTTGAGAAGACAGGGTTAAACATGAGGACTTAGAGAAAAGTAAGAAGTTGGTGGCAACAGTAGCTTCTCTAGTGGCTTCATCTAGGAGAGTAACACATCTCAGCAGATAAACTTTGAAAAAGGTTTTTAAGATGAAAGAGAGCACGTACATTTGTAGTCACAATAAAAACTTGTAGAGTAGGAAAGAAATGGGGTTAAACGCTGAAAGATTGTGTCAAGTGCATCATCTACGGAGGGAGAATGTTAAGTTGTTGGCAGGGAAGACACAGCCGATGGCTCCCTCCAGGAAGGTGTCACAGCGAAGCAGAACACCAGACCTGATGTAGCTTCCAAATTATAGCAAGTTTTAAGCCTAGTTTCATACAGCAAGTTTATTTGTATTGTCCACTTCAGCAACAGAGCAATTCAAAGTTCTTCACATAAAGAAACGTAGACGGGTGTCTGCTTCACGGACTACCACTGGGAGCTGGGTCCACAGGAGAGGAGCCTGATGAACTACAGGATCTGCCTCCCATTCTACTTTGAGAACCTCTACGGACCACCAATAAACCTGCAGTCTGAGAGCGGAGTGCTCTGCCAGGAATATGTGGAACAATCAGATCTCTGATGTGTGATGGAGTTTGCTTATTGAGGGCTTTATATGTGAGAAGGAGAATCTGAAATTCTTTTCTGGATTTCACAGAGCCAATGGAAGTTAGCTAAAACAGAAGAAATATGATCTCTCTTTCATTTCCATCAGAACTTTGTTCGCTGCAGCGCTTTGGATCAGCTGAAGGCTTTAACTACATTTTGTGGACTTATTGAGAGTAAATATTTACAGTAGCCCAGCTTCAAAGTAACAAATGTACAGAATAGTTTTTCAGTGTCTCTCTGGGCAGGATATATCTAATTTTGGCAATATTCTGAAAAAGAGAGAAAGACATTCTAGAAACCGTTGACCCTATCTTGGTAAAAAAAAAAAAAAAGGCACCAAAGTTCTTGACTGTATGACTGTAGGCCAATATATTTTCATCCACATTAAGTGACTGACTGTGCAGTTTCTGTCCTCTTAGAATTTAGAAGCAAAGAAAAAAAAAAGGCATCCAGGCATTTATGTCTTAAGACATGCCTGTAATCTACTTGGATTAATTGGATTAATCAGAATGTATTTGTGAACATAGCTGAGTATCATCAGCATAACAATATTTAAATGGAGATTGAGAGGTGCAGAATTAACCAGTTTAAAAAATAAAAATTCCTATTTACATAATGCAGTGATGTGGTGCAGAAGGTAAACATATAAGTGACCCAAGTATGTCTCTGTTCTGTCTTTTAAAATTACAAATGAATATTTTTGAACATTTGTTTACTTAAGATGTCTGTTTTTGTCTGGTTAAAGCATTGGAAGCTCATTTCTAGTTCCCACAGAATCAATATCTATAGTTTCTTTCAATAACCTGTCGCTGCTGGATCCTCAGGCAGCACTTCAACTCCATCTGATAGTCTAATGAAAATGGCACAAAATGAAAATTATTCTTGCAAGCTGATACTGATTGTGCATGTTTATCTTCTTTATTGTTGGCACAAGAGTCAAAGAAATGTAATTAAGTGAAAGGTCTCTGTCATGTTCACACCACATTTGTGTCGTTTGCTAAATGACAGAGGAGATTAAAGGACTAGCTCCAACTTTTTGGGGACACATGGTGTATTTCCCATGCTGTTCTGCTGGGTTTTATTAATACATGTTCACCAATAAACTTGTTTTGTTAGTTTTATTAAAATGTTAATTGTACTTTTCTTTTTTAACACAGATAAAATGTATTGTTCTACAAAATCTTTTTTTCTGCAAATACATTAATTTAAACACTATGAAAGATACTGTTACAGCTGTAAACAACAGCTTACCACCATGAAGAAAAGCTTTCATAGTACCGTGTTATGACAGCTGCTATGCATAGAGTCATTTTCTGGCAATTAGAATGAATTGTTTGGCAATCAGAAATTTGTGATTTTGATTCCAGTTCTCTCTGCTACATGTCGTGGGGTGCTTGGGAACCCAGAGTTGCCTAAATGTTGTGTATTATTGTATCGCTGTGTGAATGCTTTTGAGTGTAGGTGAATGTGACTTGTCGTGTAAGTGCAACTTTACAATATATAACTACCTTTGAAAAATGTACCAGAAAAAATTCAACCCAGACTCAGGAAATAATAGCCAAATAGTTCAGTCTTAGTTATTGCTGGGTTTCAGTCACGAGACCCAGATGACGCGCGAAATTCAGATGGAGGTCCGGAAGGGGATTTCTCTGGTTCAAAACAAAGCAAAATTGATCACAACGAGTAACTAATGCCCTAAGTAGGCTGGAACAGCCGAGGTATCTCGACAAAATACGCATATATTTAGGATATTATCTCAGTAAAAAAAAGACTTCTCTTATAATCTTGAGGATTTACCTGCATCGAGGCCATCCACATAACTAACTACCTGGAGCTGCAGACCTCATATTATACAATGAGCCAGAAGAAAGCTTCCAAAAGCCTGGAGAATACAATCATTTAGTTTCAAGTTGGGTCAAATTTAGTAACAGCTCACAGTGACTGTATGGCTGGATAGGTTATATTTAATTTATTTAGCTTTTTTTTATTTTTATTTTTTCAGCATTAAAGTCCCACTGAATAAACATTATGTTTTCTTTCTGTGACTTGGCACTGAGTTAGCTGCTAACAACATTAGCGCTCTGAGGACAACCACTCTAGGGCATAAAAATAATATATCTTACCTTGCATATGAATGCTTGTCTTTCTAAGTAACTGTCCAATAAAACATCTGAAAATACAATTTAAACGATGTGATCGTTACCTGTTAGAAAGTGGCGCTGCAAACTCTGGCATTAAGTTTCTGCACCTCCTGCTTTTAGCTGTAGATTGTTGATCCACTTTTCTCC